CCTTCCTTCCTTCCTTCCTTCCTTCCTTCCTTCCTTCCTGGTGTTGGAGAAAAACACAGTAAAATCAGAGTTTCATGCCCCACCCAATCTGAATGAATTATGGCACATTGTCTCATAGTATTCCAGATTCAGTAAAATGTTTTATGAGTACTAAATTTCACCAGAGTTACGCACTAGGATTGTTTATTAATATGTATGTTAATTTAATTTTCATTACCTAGGCTGCAATCCTATGCTCATATACCTCAAAAGAAAACCCCAAGGAAGTAAGTGATGCTTACTTCTTAAGAAATTTATGTAGAATTTTCCCTATAAATGTAATTTTCATGCTATATCCAATGAGTAAATGAACATTTTGCTTAACAAAACATAGCCAGGGAAAAAAGGGTTCCCCCGGTATAATTTGCCAATTTAAAAAATGGAAATAATATTCAAGGGTGGAGTTCTTTTCTTTTGTTTTACAATAGTTGCCTGTATGTGATTAAGCAGCCATGTGTGATTCAGTAGAAAGCTACATCACTTCTTGTCTCAGAGGAGAAATGTTTCCATTTGACACATACATGTGTTAAAGGAGAACATTATTTCTCTACATGATTTGTTAATGGCAATGTTTCATATGTATATCTTTATATGTTTTATATGTATAGTTGCACATTTTTAGCTGGCCTTTAACATGAAGTTTGGTGAATACTGTGTTTCATAGTTCTGATAGTTTCATTAATAGCTGTATCATCAGTAACAGGACTTCTGAATTCCACAAAAGTGTGACAATAAGTTAACTTGAATTAGATATAAATCTAATTCTGTACATTTACAGCACAAGAAGATAATCACTTGGGATCACGTTTTGCTTTTTCAAAAACATTCTAGTAAATTTGCCTTCAATCAAGAAGGTGTAGTTGGACATGAAAAAGTGAGCAGAATCTGAGTTTGAATATAGGCTCCAAATATTATTTGAGGAATCTAATACAAACTTGTAGCAAACATACGTGAACATTTCAGAATTTCCACTCTCGCATGCAATGGCATATTATTATTATATTCACAATAATGTGAAACCACAGCTGCCAGTTCTTTAGCTACTATTGACCTTCATACACATTGAGTTCTTCACAAGAACCAAGAATACAGAATAACAGAGATGGAATGGATGTTGGAAGTGTTCTAGTCAACTCTGCACAAGCAGGAGATCCTATAGTTACCGTTCTGGACAAATGCCTATCATAATGTATTGGTGTAGTATATGTGTGGCTCTATGCAGTGTGACCTTTTTTAATTGACAGATGTCAATACACATATTTTCTAAATGTGTATTGTGTCCCAGTGTGCCGAAAACCACTATGACTGGTTTATGCCATAGTATTTCAGTTTCATTTTTCAGTTCTTGATATTTTGTGATCTTCTCCAATTCTTTGTCTTTTATTATCTCCTGGTATTGTCATATCAATCACCTACATTTCCAATCATCACACATGAGCTCAGTATTGCTGTTAGATCATTTCTGATCAGCTGCAGAAGATCATATCTCGTAAAAAGATGTAGAGAAATGTGTTTCCATTTATACTCTAAAATTTAAGCCAATTTAGTTTCATTTCTCCTTTTTGCCAACTAAGGAGATTGCAACTGGAAAAGACTTGCAAATTCTTGGACTCTGGTTATTTATCTATCAATGGGTTTAATCAGTGTTATATTTTTCCCCCTTTTTAAAATCTGCAGTTGGCATATATAGTACTTCCTTCTTCCAATTTTCCTCTCAGCAACTTCGTAAGGTTATTTGGTAGAAAAAGAATGACTGGCCCCAATTCAACTTGTGAGCTTCTGTGGCTGAAAGTATTCTTTGTCTTTCTAGATTTAGTCCCAACATTTTAATCACTTCTGTAAAATGGGATTATATTTTATTCTCTCTCCAAAATAGTCTTGTTCCACTAACAAATGAGGAGCAGTTATTGTGAAACTGAAGAAGCATATAAAATTATATATTTGGGGAATAGCACATACTGTATAATGGCATTGGAAAACTGAAAATTGTTAAAACAAGGATTTACCAATTAAGTTTTATTTATTATCACATAAACAAATTGAAACATGAATGTTTACAGATAAACTACATGTATAATAGCCTTATGGTTAAGTAAACCATTGTTGTGCATCCAGATGTGATTTTTTTTCTCCTCAGAGCATAGTGTTGCTAACGTTCCTTTATTGTTCTTATCTCTCACTAGTAACATCTGCCTCCACATTTCCCTCCCGCATAATTTAAACATTACTTACAGTTTCTGACTAGTAATCAATGTGCCATTAGTCTTTTAGATGATATTGTTCAGGAGCAGGTGGGCACAATCATTTGATAAACTCAGGGGTAAACCCAATCCTTTCAAGGACCAGGATAGATGATAACTTGTTGGCATTGTTTAATTGCTTTTAAATTTGTAAACAACTACCAATATTTTAAGCTACCATATTCTTTCCCACAATGAAAATAGGGAAAAAAATGATGATGTACCCATGTATAGCTCCAAAAAAACAAAAAAAAAACAAAAAAAAACATGAGGATGAGAAAAGAAGTATTGAAACTTTAAAAGAGAATCTAATACTTATGGATTTCAAAACTGTGGAAAACTATTACAATTGCTAGCTGAGGTTTTCAACAATACTGAGTGTGGATTCAGAATAAATTATATTCTCCTTAGTAGATTCTTATATTTTGAGGAGAGTTTAATGTTCATTAAAGTTGAACTTGGAGATATTAGATAGGTTTAAATATGTCCATGTATAAGGGCAAAGAGATGAGAACTAAAGATTTTTAAAATGTATGTTAAAATATATAATGTTCACATCTTCTCTATGAAATATTAATAGTTTAACTATCAATATTTTATCTTCTGCATTTCATTTTAGCTCATTTAAATAACAAATAGATAAATATTCTTTAATTAAAAAAAGTCCTTATATTCAGTCAGTTCAGAAAGTACAGGTAGGGCACATCCTTGTGGTAAAATATACAGCTACCCAACTGTGAGGATTCTCATTCATTAACTGTAACAAGAATGACAAACAATCGGGATACCTGGATTATCATGAATGCACCAGGGTTCACTTAACTAACTTCTGCTCATTAGTTTTTATTCTTATTTTTAAATAAGCAGATGAGTAAATACATACATTTTCAAGTTCAGATGATTTTAATCTGTTATTCTTCTTTTGATAAACTGGATATAACACAATAGGCATATAAGGACCCACAAGCTCTAAGGGAGATTTATTGTAAAAAAAATAATGAAAGGTTTTTTATTTTTATTTAATCTATTTATTTAGGTCCCCCACCTTTATTATTTTTATAAATAAGACAAGACAGAAAAAATACTCAACATACCTTCTTCCTCTTATTTTCCCACAACATCCCTGTGAGGCGAGTTGGACTGAAACAGAGTTACTGGTCTAAAGTCACCCAACTGGTTTTCATGGCTAAGGGACTAGAATTAACCTTGTGCCTTAGCCACTAGACCAATCAACTTTCTAATTCCAACAACTGAAATGTAACCCCTATCTAGAGTGAAATCAAACTTAAATTCCTGTGCCCTTTTCTTCTACTCGTATGGCATAACAGTTTTGGAACCAGTCTCAATGTAGAGGTCAATTTCTATATTTCAATTGTTTGGGTAATAGAGTTGTCTAATTTCAAGACGTTTTCTTTTGATATTGTGAGATCTAATTAGCTGGGGTATAACTAAGTGGTTTGGATCATAACAAAATGTTTTCTGTTACCATCTTTTAGAAAGTCACCTCAGTTGCAAACTACAGAAATAACTTTTATTTCTTCATCACTATCCCATATTTTGTGATTGTTTCTGTTTTTTAATGTCTATGCCTGGCATTTTATATTCACTCAAAACATGGTACTCTTACATGGCTGCATAAATAATTTGGAAGGAATTTGGTGCATTCCTTCCCCCACCTCATATCCAACAAATTTACTTGAGAAGAAACAAAAATATTGTGTAAAAATATAAATATCTACTTTGACAGAGCTCAGCTTCTGTTGACTATGTCTTAATGTCTATGCAGGGTTGTTATTGTTGATAATAGCAGGAAAGTGGTGTGTCACTGCCTTCTGGAATGTTTTAAGCTTCCACAGCCTTATCTATTATCCTGGCATTTCTAGTTTTCTTCCAATTCAACCATTAACAAGGTTCTTGTTACACATCTTCCAAAGCAGAAAAGGATACTATAATAGTAAAACAAGAAATTATATTCATATGCAAGCTTCATCAGATCTGATATAAATACGAAAAGGACTTTATTCAAACATATTCAGTTGCTGCTTTAAAAACTTGCATGTATAGGACCCAACTAAAGAGCAGTTAAGACATAGTCTGGATCTTGAACACAAAATATTTTAGCATGTCAATGAAGAAGCCTGGCTGAAAACCAAGAAATAGCAGTATGTGATTTGAATAACAATATTGGTAATTTTAAGTGCCACAAAGATCTAACAATGTCAAATCACAGATTTTGCTTCCCATTTAGACTGTGTTATTATCAAACAAGGGTTATATATAATAATTTAGTCTAAAAGAGAAAAAATATTTTGCTTGATTTGATAAACTTATGACTAGTTTATTTTAGATGTGACTTTTGGCCAATAATTAATACAGTTCTGGCATCATTAACAGTTCTTATATAATAAAAAGAGGAAAGATGCATCCTTTGATATTATGTCTTTTTCCATATGTATTAATTCAGAAACTAGTAGTTAGTTTAAAAGTGTAAGTGGCTTTTATCGTTTCATTGAGAAATACGACACTCTATTAATTTTTTTTACTACTCCCCTCCTTCCATTTGTTGTGGCCAAAACAAGTCCGAGCTGAAGAATAACAGATGGAAGTGATGCTTGTGTATGCAATGAATCTGCATAATAAATTTAAACTTGATTATAAGTATTTAACTTTTAATATTTTTATACAGCTGTGAGGGTTACAGGCTTATATCTCTCTTTTCAGGTCAGGATCGTAGTGAAGCAACTTTAATAAAGAGATTTAAAGGTGACGGTGTCCGATACAAAGCAAAACTCATTGGGATAGACGAAGTCTCTGCAGCGCGAGGTGACAAGTTATGTCAAGATTCCATGATGAAATTAAAGGTGCTGTGAAAATGCTTAAAATACTTATTTTCAATACTAGTTAAAATGTTTATATAAAATTGTCTGTATAATCATGCATGTGTGTGTGTGCGCGCGCCCTCATGCATGTATGTGCAACCTAAACATTGTTTGAAATAAGGATGTAAACCTTTTGGGACAAGATCTTGAAGAGAATGATAGAATTTTTAGCTCTTTGAGGTGGAACAGTTTCTTTACAATCCAACTTCAAATCTTGAAACATCATTGGAATGCTTTGTATGTTTAGTGAAATCTCTTTTTGGACATAAATAGGAGAAGTTCCATCTTTTGGATTTGATATTTGATTTGGCAGGTTTGATACCATCAAAAATGGCACCTTGCTTTACAGCTAATGTTCTACAATTTAGCTGTAGGAATTATGTTATGTGATACAATTTAGACATTTAGACTAATTATATTAGCTGTAGGAATTAAATTATATGATATAACTTAGAAATTTCTCCTTGATTCCATGCAAATTGTGTTTTGGAGTGTACAGTCTTTTGTATTAGCCCATCATGTATTTTATAGTCTCTTTCTGAAGCTGTAGGTGACATCTTTCTCAGTCAGGTAACACCATGCATCTGTGATACTCATATCTTCATGTAATCACAGATGGGATGATGATCCTAAATGGAGATGAATTAATAAACAGATATTCTTAATCTCAAAATTATATGTGCATGTTATAGCTATTTCTTTCCATGACCCTGATTAATGTTAATAATAAACAGATATGTAGCCTGATTGTGATTGAGCGACATGTTTGTCAAACTCTCCAAAGTACTTGAAGTGTTCTTTGACCTATTTCTGACACTTGAGGTTCAAACCCATGTAGCCCTGTAGCTAGGAATGTCACGTAATATCTTTCCCTGGTTCATTGCTTATAATCATTCCTTATAGACAAGATTAGACAATAGTACACTATGTTCCCAATATGAATAATATTCAGGTAGCTATGACTTAACAATTATTTGTTTAGCAATCTTTTGAAGTTATGAGGGTGCTGAACAATGGTAATTACAGGCAGTCCTCAAAGTTATAGCCATGGCAGCACCCCCATGGTCCCATGAACAAAATTCAGTGAGGCCTCACAAAGGACTAGCAACTGCTTCAGCTGGACACACTTTGTCAGCAGCAGCAGTAAGAAGATGGGACAGTCACTTAGGACTAGTGGGGGTGGTACAATAAGTGGCGGCAACAGAGAACAGAAATGGGTGTAAATAGATAGGTGGGGGGGAATTGAAGCAGAGACAAGGAAGGCAGGGCAGGAGAATTGTGAGATCATTGCCTAAGAATGCTGCAGTCCTGCAATTTAATTTGCCATTGCTATGTGGTCATGAAATGTTTTGCCTAATGACCATTTCACTTGATAGTAGAAATTCTAGTCCCAATTAAGTGATTCAGTGATGACTACCTGTATTGTATGGTGTATAGATGGTGTAACTAGAGTATTATTAAATATGATTATAGCATTCTTATGACTTGGTTTTGCAGCATGTGTACAAAAGCTGCATCTTTGCCTGAAAATTGGAGGAATGCCATTATTGTTCTTCTATACAAACAGAAAGGTAGCAGGAGTAAATGTCCAAGCTACAAGATTTAGCAGAAATCTGATTAGAAGGATAAGTGAGGAGGCAATGAATAAATATGGGAAGTGCTATGTAGCTTTATGCTATGGCAGTATATAGACCAGCTTATTGTTCTTTCAGCACGTCATTGAGAAATGCATAAATCTGAGTCAAAATGTTATTGTGAATTTTTTGATTTATAGAATTAATATGATAAGGTCAGTGGGTTTGAATTGTGGAGTGATGTGTGCAAATGCAGAATTATTCAGTGTTCAGTAAATATAATAACAGCAGTATATGGTGGAAATGAAGTTTGAGCATTGATAGCATGCTTAGTAAAAGCTTCAACATAGAGCAAGAAGTATGATAAGAAAATGTAATATTTTTATTATTTAACATATTTATGGGTAAATATATGAGGAATGTTTGTGGTGATGTTGTGGTTTGGGACATAATATAAATGTTCATATTCCTGACTAAGAATAAGATTAAGCAATGATAGATACATTATATATTGCAATGAAAAACATGGTTTTGAAAATATGTATTTACTTAATCTATTTACATGGCTTCCCATCTTGCAGACACAATTCTGGATGGCTGTAACATTTAAAAATTATTTGGAAGCAGAATAACGAAAGCAAATACAAATAATATATTCTGGCAATTTAGAACACCAGAAACCAACTTACCTAGTCTCCTCTAACTTCCCAACCCCTATGATAAGGAAAATATCCTTATCCTAACCACACCAGCATCAGCAACTCAATTTTAAGGGAAAAAAATTTGGACTTGAAAGCTGGCAGAGCAAATACAGGAGAAACGAAAATTGCAAGTACTAAACTTTAACTCCAAAATCTATCACTTCCCTCTGAAGCTCTGTGGTAGAAAGGGAAAGTAAGATGGCGTGTGACTCTAACGGGGCGTGGAGAAGTGAAACCTAGATACAAAGTATTATGTGGTGTTGAAAGCCCCTGTTTAAAAGAAGAGGATTTTATTTTAAAAGGAGAAGGATTTAAAAATTATATCTAAGAAAAAAAAATGGCTGGCTTTTTTGAAAGTGATGAAGGCTCACAAATGCTGACTGTGGATCTTTTGGAAGAAGTTTTGGAATCATTTGCCTCTGTGTTCGTGGAAAGAATTGAAGGATTTCTTAAGAAGATTTTAGTCAAATCCCAAACAAGGATATAAGTGATGAGGAGGCAGAAGAAAAAACCCAATTTATTGTGCCTTTGGAAAATGAAATAGAGGCTTTTCAAATTGAGAGGGAGGAACAGAGAGGCTTGAAGGAGTGTATATTGAAAGACATTCCTCCAGAGGTTTTGATACAGGCAAATGGAGAATTGTCAGGAGGTGTTGGGATTTTTTATACAAAAAGGAAGATTCGAAGTGGAACTTTACAACTTTGTTGCAGGGATGGATTCTCAATCGCAGTTAAAGAGGTGTTCTTACTTGAGAGGAAGAGAACAGGATTGTGGTGGAGGAGTGAGACTGGAGAAGAAAGAAAGAAAGAAGAAAGTTTGCAAAAAAGCCAAAAAAAATGGAGAAGAGAAAAATTCTCGAAAATAAAAGCAGGGGGAGGGGCAATGCTGAAGAAGAAAGTATTATTGAAGAAGAAGGACTGGAAAAAATATAGAACGAAAGGAAGAAAGGAAGATTAATTTCTTTTGGGGAGGATCTTAGTAATAAATCTGAAAAGTTTACTGAAATTAGTATTTGTTAAAACAATGATATAAAGAAAGTGTTTTATTATATTTAGCTTTGGATATAATTTAAGGGATAGCCTTTTGAGGTTATATTTTGAAGAATGTCTTATTGAAGTAAAAATGTTTAACTAAAAATGAATAGTTTTTTTAAAAGTTATTGAGGTATCCAAATGGTTAATTTAAAATTTAATGGATAACTTCCTGAAAGTTTTGAAACTTATATATTGAAGAATGAATTTAAGATTTAGAAATAACTTAACCCAATGGATTAACAGTATCTCTAAGATTGTATTCTGAAGAATGTTTTATTACAATCAGAAAAATGTCAAGTGGTTTATGAATGACCAAAGAGGATAAATGTTTAATTTAGAATTTTACTAGGGAGTAATGCTGAAAAAGAAGGTATGGAAAGGATTTTAGTAATAAATGTGAAATGTGATAAGAGAATTTATAAAAGGAAGGTTGATGAATAACTTTTAAAAGGGGAGTTAAAAGAACGTGAGGGAGTTTTGAATCTTCTAGTAAGTTAGCATATTTTAGCTTAGGTTTGTTAAATGTTATACCCTGTTTTTGCTCTGGGAAGTCGAGGGTGTGTGGGGAGGGGAGGTTGAAGGTTGGGTGGGGTTGAAATTGTTGTAAAATTTTTAATAAAATAAAAAGATAGATAAGTGTATTAATAGAGAAGTAAGAAATGTGGGGGAAATGTAATAATAAATGAAATGATAATATTAAGATATGATAAATATTGGAGGAGTAAGAAGAAGACATAAAAGATGTACTTAGATGATACATTGAATGATTGTTTATGTATTATTTGCTTGTTTGTTTATAAAATAAAAACTTTTTTTATAAAAAAAAATTGTAGTCCTTAATGGAACTACATTTACATGAAAGGAAGCAGTGAGGTACCCCACGGTTCCATTTTAGGCCCAGTACTCTTCAACATCTTCATAAATGATTTAGAGGAGGGAATTAATCAAATTTCAGACTATACTAAACTGGCAGGAATAGCCAACATCCCAGAAGATAGGATCAAGATCCAGATGGATCTTTACAAACTTGAACACTGGGACCTATCTAACAAAATGAAATTCAGTGTAGAGAAAAATGAGGTTTTATACTTAGGCAAGAAAAACCAAATGTACAGGTACAGATTAGGTTCAACTGGTTCAAAAGCAATAACTGTGAGAAAGATCTTGGAATCTTAGTGAACAATCACTTAAATATGAGCCGGTAATATGGATCAGCAGCCAAAAAAGCCAATACAAACCTGTGCTGCATTAACAGAGGGATAGACTCAAGATCACATGAAGGATTAGTACCGCTTTATAAAGCCTTAGTAAGACCACACTTAGAATACTGCATCCAGGTCACTGAACAGCTTCTTGTCTAGAATGGCATAGAGGGAGGTTGGACTAGAAGACCTCCAAGGTCCCTGTTATTCTGTAGTTTTGTAGGCCTGACACCAGCATTTGGTGTCACATTTTAGCCAACTGGATTAATTTGAGAAGCTCACAGGCTTGAATTAGAAGTCAACAGTTCCTTCCATTGTTGCTTCTGAAGCAATCAGCATTTATGGCATGTTGCCGATCATTCAGGAAGTAGTAAACAGGCATCAATATTAGTAGCTATTGAAGCCTGATTCTCCAATACTTTTTTCAAAAGCATTCAAATTGGCTGCTATTACCACAGCAGCTGGCTGTGAATTCCCTAGTTTAAATGTGTTGCATGAGAAAGTATTTCCTTATGTGAAATGACCTTGACTTAAAACCCTGTAAAAGCAGGACAACTTTCTATCCCTGCCTTATTTTTATATGCCTCCATATAAATGTGAATAAAAATGTTATAAAAATATGAACGTAATATATTTAGTGGGTCATCCTCTTCCAAAGATTTTTTTTTAAAGGATGAGAAGAATATGCTGTAAGGAACATACATGTCGTTGTTGCCTTAGGTTTAAGGTAACTTATGAGTGACTGCCTATCCCAGAGATACATTACAGAGCTAACTCAGTGAGTAAGAAATAATATACTAGGCAATTAAAGAGTTTACTTCAAGTGTAGGGCTGAGATTAATTATTGGAAAGCACATACACTGTTGATAGATTCAAACAAAGTACACCAAATATGGACCCTGTAAGTTTCATATTCATATTACAAAGAATTACTGCAAGGAAAAATTACTCCAAGAATCTGTTTCCATGGTACCAATATAATAAGAAATACCCATGCAAAGACTTGAAGTATTGAATCTAATTTGAGAAACATAAATAATGAGAACCTAATTGGAAGAAAAACATGCTAACGGTTCAGTATATATCCCTAGATTTTAAAGTGGAAAGTAGAAACCTACAATTGTCTAGCCCTATTCAAGCCTGTTCTTATTCCTGCCTAATCTACTCCTTCTGTCAGATTTTATAGCTACTTACTTTTCTACTTCAATTTTGCTATACACCCAGCTTTGTCTATTTTCCATATTTACTTTCTATTTATCATTCTTTCCTATAGCTATTCTCCTATAAACTTGTTCAGTTTGAGCCAATTTGTCAAGCATCATAAGTTACAAACATTTGGTTAAGTGAGTGACATCGAGTTGGTCACGCCTACTCAGTCACAAGACCCCCCCCCACCCAGCCACTTTCACAGAACCCGGTAGAAAAACTTTTTTAATTTCTATTCTGCTGCCCGCTTGCCGCCCGCTCTCCCCAAGGCCCCAGATTCACCGCCTGCTCACCACCTGCCTCAACTGGGTCAGAGAATGCACCATTCCCCGACACCAGCCTTGCCCGGAGCCATACTACTACTGATACATAGTATTTTTATCAGTGTGTTTAACATTCCTTTTAGAATATGGAATGTATCTACCAGAAAAGAAAATAGATGGCATGAATAGTGCCGGCTCCAAAACCAAGAAAGTCACAATGAGATTCTCCTAAGCAGTTTCTGCTGCTATTAAATATAGACATGTTCCATAGAGCAATTTAGGTATGTTATAGCTGTATTAGAAAAGGTTTATCATGTATTCTCATCATCTTTTAGACATGAAAGCTGGGTGACATTGGGCCAGTCACTCTTTCTCAGCCTAGCTTACGTTACATGACTGTTTTTATGGGAAAAAGAACTGGCAGCATTTATGTAGGCACCTCAAGATGCATAAAATAGAATATTATGGTTATTGTTATTTCCTTTCAATATAGACAAACAAAAAGGAAGGAAGGAAGGAAGGAAGGAAGGAAGGAAGGAAGGAGTGTGTGTGTGGATTGGAGAGGCAACTACTGTAAGAGAAAGAAAAAGATATGGAGATAAAGAAGTGGATGAAGATTAGGGGAGGACAAAAGATAGGCAAAAGAAAGGGTGATGTTGAGAAGCATATTAAGCATTACAAAATGTGTTAAGCAACTCTATCAAGTGATGGCTAATCTTCAGAAACATCTGTGTTTTCAGCAAATATGTCCCCAGTCTTCCTTTCTTTTAACAGGATTTTTTTGTTGTCAGAAATGTCAAACAACTATTCTCTGCATTTTACAGATTTGTATAAGTGTGTAAAGGATTTCTTCTGAGTAGTTAGGATAAACTGCTCAGAAGCAGTGTTATCCCTGTAATTTAGTGGAATAATCTTTATTGCCAAAAAGGGAAGTGATAGAAATTAATTACAACTTCCTAACTTAGAACATTAATTACATAATTTTGATATGTCAAAATAATCAGAAAAATCTGGATTTATATGGTATGCATTCATTCAGCTTTTTTGCAGCTTCATTCCACTTCCATAGACTGAAAGATTTTGAAAACAAGCATATACATTGAAACTATTGTTCATCCCAGTCTAAAATATAAATAAATATTATGCATATTACATAGAAGTACAGTTTTATTCAAATAAATGAAATAAATTTCCCCAAATTTCTAAGGCAATTGGAAGTTGACATTTTTTAATATGAGAACAATCAGAAGAAACAAAATGAAATTATTTTGAATGTGAAATATTTATTTTCTCCCAACAGGGAATTGTTGCTGCATCTCGTTCAAAAGGTGAACATAAACAGAAAATATTTCTAACCATCTCCTTTGGAGGAATCAAAATCTTCGATGAGAAGACAGGAGTAAGTGAAATAATGTTAAAACATTTTTTTTCCTGGTAGCTTTTGCCCTAACGGATATTCAAGGAAAGCAGTAATATTCCAATTAAATTATACCATGAAATATTCCATAAGTTGTACCTATGGATCAAAGTAGTGATTTGAATGTATAAAGATGGAATTTATTGAATTTATTAAGATAGTGATTAACACAGAGGCACAAATTTAGCAAATTTCTATAGGTAATATCAGGACAGAGAATCTGCTAACAGATAATTCCAAAAGTATTCAAGATTCCTACAGAACCATGAAAAATAAAATAAAGCAGCAGAGCCTACCAGTCCTTCCAAAATAAGTAGTAAAGAAATATGTATATGGAGATTCTCAGTCATCCAGGTCATGGTTGTCCCAAAGGTGCTTTTTCAAAAGACAACTGGACTTTCTTTGTTTTTGCTTGAAGACGATTTGCTTCTCATCCAAGAAGCTTCTTCATCTTCTTGAATGAGAAACAATTAGTTTTCAAGCAAAAACAAAGAAAGTCCAGTTGCCTTTTGAAAAAGCACCTTTGGGTTAGTAAAGTAATAAATTTTCATAGGATCTGTGTCAAGGGCATAAGTATTGTAAAATACATAATTTTGGACTACTTTCCTTAATAAATGAATGATTTACTAGTTTGTTTAATTGGATTCTCTTTTTTCCAGTTTTGCAAATTATATTTATGTATAAATATTGAAAATTCAAAAAGGTTTGCAGACTTTTAAGCACCAACGTGTATTGTCTAATAAACTATTACCATCATTGACACCAAATGAAGAATACTATTATGCAAGAAACATAAGTAATGGAATACCTACATCATATTTTTAGCCAACCTGATTGAAGTGACCTCATAGAGTTATTGGGACAAGACCTACTGGGGTAAAAAAGAAATAATTTCAGAAATAGCCTGAAAATAATCTAGAGAAATTACCACCATATCAAGGCAAAGAGATTTGTTTCAAACATGTTTGAGAGCTGAGAAACTTTGTTCATATCATTTCCCAGTACAACCAATTTCCAGTGAGTGTTTAGATTTGTACACCATAAAGAAACCAAATGGCCTGGTCTTTGCAGGAAAACAAATCATAGTCAATCTCTTTTGAACACAAATGATGGAATACTTGAAATTTGCACTGCAATATTTTCACTCCATGGAAATACTCCAGTCCATCTGAAAGAACACCCAAATTCCACATAGATGAATACTTGTTCTACTTTAGTTAATATGGCAAGTAAACCTCTTGGCATTTGTTTTATTTTAAACAATACTTTGCAAAAAGAAACTAGACACTTTAGTGCTTTTGTCATGTTCACAATCGGGATTGCTGTGATATGCAGTAGAATTGGAACTGCTCTATCCACCAGAAGATGGAGATGAAAGTTTTTGTCAGCGTTTGCACAATTGTGTCGATATATGCATTGAAGAGGGACTACAATACAATCATTTGTCACCCCTCTCAGAATGACATAATGTAAGATGTTCATGAAATAAATAGGAATGAGGGATAGCACACAAACAACATATTTTGCCAGAGCAAATAGATCAGTTTTGTGAATGTTATTATAGCATACAACATTCTATATGCTGTATATGGATTTTCTGAGACATAAGTAGTTTTGAGACATGGAAAGGTTTAATTCTTTCTTCCCATGACATTGTGTGTAGAAAAAAATAAATCTTTAAAGTCTGCATTTTAAGAATTTTTTTTGTAGCACAAATAGAGGTTTTCCCTTGAGATGCAAGTAAATGGAAGTGTTTTTTTGTTAGACTTGCAATAAAGAGTGGGTCAATACTTTCATTTTCCAAAACTTACAATGTCCGACTGTAGTCCTCTACTTCTGCAACAAAAAGCATGAGAAATAATCACTATATTCCTATCAGGGCTGTCGTATCATTTGTCTTTTCTTTTGCAGTACTGGAAAAGCCCTGGAAGCTAGATATTGTGATACTGAAAAACTAATTCCTTCTTTTAGATGTATAGATGCTTTACTTATATCCCGACACTCCCATGTTACACCTCTCCTACGCGACTTGCATTGGTTGCCAGTTGCCCTCCGAGTGAGATTCAAGGTGCTGGTGATTACCTATAAGGCCCTACATGGCTTAGGTCCGGGATATTTGGGGGACCATCTGCAGCCAGCAACAGCTTCCCATCGCCCGGTGCGTTCCCACAGAGAGGGCCTCCTCAGGGTGCCGTCGGCCAGACAGTGTTGGCTGGTGACCCCCAGGGGGAGGGCTTTCTCTGTGGGCGCACCTACCCTTTGGAATCAACTGTCCCTGGAGCTCCAGGTGGCCCCCGACCTCCGCTCTTTCCGCCGCGACCTGAAAATGTGGCTGTTTCATTTGGCCGGCCTGGACTGATAGGGTTTTAATTCTAATTTAATTTTAACTTGTTAGTCTTAATTGTACTTTTAACTGTTAAATTATGAGATTTGGATTCATTTTTTAAAACTTTTTATTAGATGTTTCTTAACTGTTGTGAGCCGCCCTGAGTCCGGCTGGAGATAGGACGGCATGTAAATCATCATCATCATCATCATCATCATCATCATCATCATCATCATAATGTTGCTTTGAGATTAAGTACTAAACTAGCAGCCCCCAACCTTTTGGGCACCAGGGACCAGTTCCGTGGAGAAAGTTTTTTCTGCGGAGGAGGCGTGGTTGTGTGTGCTGCCTGCATCCCACAGGTGGAGTTTCGCTTCTTTGCGTGGCCTGGTTGCTGGCATGCCACAGATCAGTGCAGGTCCACAGACCGGGGATTGGGGACCCCTGTATTAAACTATCATGAAATGCTACTATGATTCTCTTTTTAAGCATCTCTTTCTAAAATCATCAGTCTGTCTAATTTTTTTCCACATCTATGCAAGTATTGCTTTTCCCACCGAAGCCCTTAAATTTATTTTCGGAGCATCGTTGTGCTAACTGCAGCCTCTTCTAAACAAGAAAAACTTCTGATGAACTAACTTATCCATATCCTTTTCAGTGGACATGAGAGGGGTGCAGAAACCAATATCCAGACATTACTACCCCATGCTCTATTTTGGGGCTTTTTGTCTTGATTTTTCTTGTAAACTTCAAAACAAGCCAGTCATTTGCTACAAGAGAAGCTACCTATGCTCATTTTAAAAGGAAAATGAAGCAATGCTATAGCACTTCAATGACCGTCTTTGTAAATTACAATTTGGTGGAATTGCTCAAATCTAACCTCTATAAAGAGAGAGCAAGCATGGAGAAATGTAGGCCAGAAGCTGGATCTAACATTAGACTGTGAGAAATGTTGACACTTTAGAGGTGTCACTTGATGTTGTTTTAGGAAGGAGATCCTATCAGATTCAGGTTAAGTGACAGAGAGTAAACAGGCAAACTACTAAGATTTCTTTTTCTTTTTTTGCAAAGATAAAAGCCACCCAGAGTTTATGCAAAATAATCTGATAGTTGATTTCAGCTATATATGTTAATAGCAAAGGAATTATTTCTTAAGATCTCTGTTTGATGAATGTAGCTGTAATTAGAATTAGTTTCTGTGTTAAATGCAAATTCTCATCTTAATGAAAGAAAATCAGTAAAATATAAGTATTAGCAGAAGAATTTTGCATTTATATTTACTGTGTTGGAAGTGTGTACTATGCTTAAGTACTTGCTTGGTTTTTTCAAGGAAGCTCATAGCATAGAGACTAAGAAGTATCTTCTAGTCAAGTCATAATATTGCCTGCCACCACTAAAACAATTTTTATTCTATATTAACAGGGTCCTAAGGCAAAAACCACAAAGAGAGCCAGAACATATGTGAAAACAGCTTTTTCTTAACTATAATTATCTTCACAATGGCTTATGCCCTCTCTTGAATTTTAATAAGGAACTCAATTAAATGTTTATATAAATTAACTATGTAACATGATGCCAAAAATAAACCAGTCTGATGGCTGTTAGAATTAGCTTTCCTAATTAACATTGTATTACTGGATAACCAGGATCATTAAAATTACAAGTAAATAATTCAGTGTCAATTACAAAGAATTACAGGAATGAAACCACTATACTTCCCAAATATGATGCATTATCTGGCCATATAAGTTTGAAACATTCTGCAAGGAATTAAATTTTAATTCCTGTAGCATGGTAGATAAATGGTATTGAACTAAATTGTCAATGTCAGATGATCTTATCAACCAAATTCATAATCTCAGTATAAATGGCAGAGCCCTGCAAGGATTTTGGCTGGGTCTAAAGGTTTTTTTTTTGGTAGGATAGTTCCAAATTATATCACTTACTGTGCCTTTTGAAATTGTTTCCCTGTAGACCTCTTGTTTCCTCTGTGCAGCTCCATGGCATGGAGATTTTATTATGAGTTCTGGAAGAAGGTTAGAAGGAAGAACTAGCAGCCTAGAAAGAATCACTCATAGATTAGATGACCTAAGAATTAGAATTAGAATTCTTTATTGGCCAAGTGTGATTAGACACACAAGAAATTCGTCTCGGGTGCATGAGCTCTCAGTGTACAATAACCAATAAAGATGTTGATTTAATCCAATACCTGTCATAAATCAAAGGTCATATTTTGTCATTCCAGAAAAGGAATATTAGAAAGATCATTTTTATTAAAAGTGAAGCCACCTCAATGATTCTACCTTTACAATACAATAGTAGTTTTCTTGTATTGATTCTGACTTTTAAATCCTTAGAAAGAAATAAAAAATAAGTAATCCATTAGCTCTACTTGCTTTAAAAAAATGAGCGACAATATTTAACTTCCTTGCCGCTAAGACACTTATTCTGAGGGAATCTTGCTTTGTTGTTGTGCCTGAATAGATTTTATTGCTTCTATGATCAGGCAAAAAATATTTAAAAATGTCCAAGATGCAAGTTGCCTTACAACGCTTTAGAATTTCTTACCAATTTGTCCTTGCAACAAGCCTCACTTTATTGTCTATACATGCTGGGCAGAGAAATTAATCATGATGTCAACCATAGACAGATTAAA